GATGCTCTTACAGTTCCTGAGGTCAGAAACAGGAAATGGGTCAGTGGGCTAATACCAGGATGTTTGCAGGGCTACATTTCTCCTGGAGGCTACAGGGAAGAGTCTATTTACTTTCCTATTCCAAGCTTAGATGAGAGTGTAAAATAATCTAAAAAAGTTTCTTATAACTAACAAATATTTCACAGGGAGGGACTAAATGACAGCTCTTAACTTGTGATATAAGATGAAATGCCAAATTCTTTTGGCTAATGTGTCATGAAGCCCATTGTGTAACATTCAAAGATTATATCAAAGAAATTTATCTCTCCCCCTTGTTGAAAAGAAAAATAGCAATTTTCTGTATCCCTACCACAAGTCAATATTTGGGGATTCAAGTTTTCTAATCCATACTACATCCTCAGTCTTAAGTTTGGAAAAATTTTAAATCAAGGCTAAGGTAAGGTGCTGGGATGTTAGTCCTCTGAAACCCAACAAATGTTATCAGGAAGAACTACTAGACACTGGAATCACTTGAATCCTAAGCTGGTCTTTTGGGAACACAGAATCTCCAGGAAAACATTCCCTTCCGTCCAAACCCACAGGGAAATCAGGTGATTAGAAGTTGGAGTAACAAGACAGAAATATATCTAATGAGCAGACAGAGAGAGCTGTAAATATCTCTTCATCTCCAGTCTCTCAGCATGTGTGTGACCTTGGGCTGGATGGAACCTGTTGTTGCTTTTGGAATACTAAGTTTGTCTAGGAAACCTGTGCGTGCCCCCTTCCTGCTGTCTTGTTTGGGCAGAGAGCTTCAGTCTCCATCATCAGCCATCCAGGAGTTTGGGCTTTCCCATGGGGACATTCCCCTCAGAGTTCTCAATCAGGTGAATCCAGAGGTCCAGTAGCTACTACAGGAAAGGGTCAGAGAGCTTCAAAGCACATGTATCTGAGGTCTCTGGACAGGCACCAGCCTATGGTTGTCTGTTTGCCTGATTAACTAATTAATGACTGATTTATGATGCTAAAAGGAGAAGTGAACATTAAAGTAATTGCTGATAATTAACTGATGGAAGACCAATTAGAGATGGTAATCTGAGGTCTCAGGCCTGGCTAGCAGCCTGAAGTGGCTGCTGATCCCCCCTGCCTCTCTCTCTCTCTGAGAGGTCAGCAGTTCAGCCTGCTCTCCAGTCCCCACCCACCCCAGTTCTTTATTTTTATCATGGTGTCTATTCAACTATGTTTCCATTGATTAGAAAGATCAAGGACCAATATATTTCTTGAAATATTACCTTACGACACTAGTTCATGAGACATACATTTCACAGGATCTTCTTTCACTCTGGGGTATACGTCACATGAAAAAGAATGTAATGTAATAAAAGACAAACATGGTAATTAAGCATACCTCCGACATGGTTCCCATTGGCTAATCAGGGTGATATGCAAATTAAATGCCAACCAAGATGGTGGCAGGCAGCCAGGCAGCTGAGACAGGAGGCTTGGTTGCCCCAGCGATGGAGGAAGCCAAGGTTCCCCATCTGCAGCTGCGGGGCTCTGAGCTCCTGAAGCAACAACCCCAAAAGATACAATGTTTCAATTATAGAAGGTAAAAGATGGTGGTTAATTTGCATACTCAGGCTCCCACATT